GTTCGTCCATCTCGCATTCTACTTAACCCCCTAAGGACACATGATGTGTTTATTCCAGAAGTTTGGTCCATAAGGGGTTAAAGAGATACGCTACCCCAGAATTGGTTACAAAGTAATGCGATACAAATTAATTTGAAATTGTAGATTGCCGAGGGTACGAGGGAGACGTTGGTGCACTGAAGGGAAAGGAGAGAAGGAGGAGGGAGGAGGAGAGGTGGGGGAGGAAAGGAGAAGGAAAAAAGAGGCACCACGCTCGCTCGGTAGAGAGAAAACTTGAAGTGTGAGAGGGTTGGCGAGGCATAGAGAGGCAAACCCGCGGAGTTTGGACACTCAAAGGATATAAACAATTACAGTAAAACTTGAGTGAAAATTAGCCCTTGATTACTTATACTTTTTTAAACAGCTGGGAAGAACAGGAAAAGCTGTTACGTATAAAAGCCAATCCAAGGCTGTTACTTATTATTTGCTTCTTCGTGCATGATTATCCTACATGCCCTCTTAAAGAGACATGGCATCCTAAAGACTGGACACTGGACTGGAGAAAGAAGGGAACATAAAATAGAAAAGAGATTATCAAATTTGTTCATACCCAAAACTGATAAATCCTTAACAGAAATGCCTCCGAAGGAACCCAGCCCCACTAATGAGGAGAAAAAAACAGCTGAAATGGCGATTGCAAAAGAGAATGAAACTTCACAGGTAACGCTGGTTTATCTTAAAACCTGCCTTGGTCAACAACTTTTAGCCATAAAACAAGAAATCATTAATAACAATTATGACTTAAAAATGGATATAAAGGAAATTGGACAGAAGACTAAATTGGTTGAAGAAAAATTGGACCACACAGAATTTGTGATTAAAAATCAACAAGAAAATCAGGAATAATTGCAACAGAAAATAGAGTTGAAAATGATTAATTTAGAAGGTCGATCCAGGTCAAAAAAAATTGAGGATAAGGAACATACCAGAAAATATAAGCCAAGATAAGTTGCAGGTTTTTCTAAACTCTTATTTCTCAGAGATGGGAATCCATACGGATGATAAATTCAAATTTCTGGAAAAATACCACAGTATCCCAAAACCAAGCAACCTGACTCCAGAAACTCCAAGGGATGTAATGATATGTCGTAACTCCTATTTGTTTAGAGAAGAAGTAAGAAGGGCATCAAGGCAAGGAAGTAAGAAAGAAGATATTACAAATATTAAGGTCTTTGCGTCTATTCGCATCAGTGACCGAGATATTAAGAAAAAAACAACATATAATATTACTGGGGTTTCCCATCGAGACTCATAGTAGTATTTGAAGCAAAAAACTTATTTTTTTGATAATGTTGGTTCTGCTAATATTTGGGTACAAGAGAGGGCTTTAAAACTAAATTATCAAGAAAAGAGAGATATAAAATCTGACTAATGGAGAGGAATGGAAAGAGATGAGTGAGAGGGATATAATGTAAGGAAGAAGGAATGTAAATGTTTTTTTTATTTTATTTATTATTTATTTATTTATTGTAAATATATAACATAAGAAATAGCTACAAAGGAATGAGAAATATAAGGATATAATACAAAAAGCACAAGAATAGAAATATTTTTTTCACAGATTATAAGAAATAAGAAGGAACTGTAAAAAGGAAGGTTTATGTAACAAGAGGGTGTGATTCACAAGAATAGAAACATCTTTCACAGCTTAAGACACAATATAACTTGAATGAAGAATGAAATGTAAGAGAAAGGGATATATATTGAGAGGGTGTAATTCACTTTAAAATAATATTAACATAATAACAAATATGGATTAAAAAGGAAATTTAAGATACTCATTATAAAATAATGGTAGGTAGAAATTAATGTTATATTCCGATATTGTTTAATATTTAAGAAACATTTATTCGCTTTGAGATAGATGCAAAAATAGCAAAAATAAAGGATAAAATTAACTAAATACTTTTGCAACAAACTTTTAAAAAATTTGAATACTTAATAAAACGGTATTATAGAGGTAACCGGGCAAATAAAATGCTTACAAATAAAATTAAGGGTAAAAAAAATAATTTGGTGATACAGAAAATTATTACTGAAGAAGGGCCACAATTGACTCCAGAAAAATCGGTAAAGCATTGTCACTCTGCCCACCAGCGCTGCTCCTGTCAGAGGGCCGCATGGGTCCCGGCGGGTGCGTATTGCTACAGTGATATTCCCACAAACTAAGGGGAATACTGCCAAACACTCAGCAGAAGTGACCTCTCCTCTCTCAGCAGCCAGCTCTGTATCATTAAGGGCGCCGCCCGCTGCTGCTGTGAATAATAAAGGGTTTCCTGTTTAACCCTTAAAGGGCCAGATCAATTAATTTAATATGGGTGTGTTACACACATAAGCTTGATCACATGTTTCCCTACAGCTATCAGGAAAAGCAATTAGCTATTTAAACCTAGTTTGTCCATTTCTCTGTGCCCTGTCGTGGTTTCCAGTTGGTTATCCGAGAGCGTGTTCCTTGTATTGATTTCTTGTGTATCTGACCTTGGCTTCCCTTATTGACTATCCAATCTCTGTATTCCTTGACTTTTGGCTTGGCTCCTGACTATTCTGATATCTCCATTCCTTGACCTTTGGCTTGTTTATCATTTGCGTTATACCTTTGTCTTGGCTTTTCCCTATCTTGTGTCTTTTGCCTTTTTACGTTAAATCCGGCCATTCTAAGGTCCGGTAATATGTTTTAGGTATTTGCTTTATATCCACTTAAGTTCTGCGTGTTGGGCATCTACAGAAATCCTGACAAGCATTTCAATTCTTTTTACCAAAATTTATATAATTTGCCTAATCAACCAAATAATCCAGAAATATATTTTAAAAACAAAAAGATGAAAAAACTCTCGATAGAAAAATTGAATTCTATTAATAAGTCTACCTCGGAAATAGAGATTAGGAAGGCAAAAGATATGTTAAAAAAAAATAAAACTCCTGGCCCGGACAGCTACCCCAATTTATTCTATCAACAATTTAAGGATGACTTGATAGTACATCTCAAAGATCTTTTTAAAAATATAGTTGAGGAAAAGTCTATTCCTAGTGAAATGTTATATGCAAATATTATCCCTATACATAAGCCAGATAAATCAACAGAGTATGTAAAGAACTACCATCCTATTTCATTGTTAAATTCCGATATAAAAATTAATGCAAGTATTTTAGCAAATAGGATGCAAAGTGTCTTACCGTATTTGACTCACAGAGTTCAGGTTGGCTTTACCAATTGCAGATATTCTAATAATAATGTGAGAACGATAGTTAATATTATAGACAGCATTCACGATTTAGGGGACCCATTCCAAACCCTGTCATTGGATGCATAGAAGGCCTTTGACAGGGTCAGGTGGGACTTCCTGAGAGCATCTATGAAAGCTTTCAGCCTTGAGGGTTGGATAATAGATGCTACTATGGCTTTATATGCTTGCCTAATGGCTAGAACCATAGGAAGGGGTATAATATCAGATTAGTTTAAAATAGGTAATGGTATGAGACAGGGATGTCCCCTCTCCCCGTTACTATATATACTAAATAGGTAACGGTACGAGACAGGAATGTCCCCTATCCCCGTTACTATTCTTGTTATAAATTGAACCCCTGACCTGTGAAATTAGAGAGAATGTAAAGATTAAAGGAATCAGAATAGGTCAAGAAGAATATAAGACACTACTATACGCGGACGATGTCCTAGTTACCATCTCAGACCCTGAAATATCAATGGAAGAATTACTAAAGGTTATATCCAAATTTGGGCAATACTAGAACTTTAAGTTGAATGTAGGTAAAACAATCCTTCTAGCTTAAAATCTAGGTAAGGAAGAGAAAGTGAGGATTAGGGCAAAATATTAATTTGAATGGGCAAAAAAAATACGTAAAATATTTGGGTATAAACATTTCAAGCAATCCAAATAAGATTATGGAGACTAATATATTGCCTTTAATGAAACAAATAAGTAAACAATTAAAAGACTTAAGTACTGTAGAGGTATCATGGATGGGTAGGATAAATGTCGTAAAATCATATTTAATGCTTAGATAGAGCCATATATTCCAAATGTTACCTTTAAGGATGCCAAAACCATGGCTCTCGATAATGCAGTCAGCTTTAGAAAAATGTATTTGGTTGAAAAAAAACCTAGGAATAATAAAAAAATATTAAATTTGAAACCAAAAAAATGAGGGATGGGCATACCATCTATGGAGGAAACTTGGGCAAAAATAGAGGCTACAAGACTGGAAGTACTGGATTTATCAGCCCTATTTTGGAAAATACATAAGAGAGATAAAGAAAATAAGGGTTTAGTCATAAATAATTTATTCTCACAGTGGAAAAACTAGAAAAAGAGACTTAAGATATCAGATAAAATTATCAATGACCTGCCAGTGAGTATTCTGACAGCTAATATGGAAGATCTGAACCTTAATACTTGGATGGCAAATGGTATCAACAGAATAGATCAGATAATGCAACATAACCAGATTATACCCTTTGAGGAAATTAGACATATATTCCCTCTCCCTTATAGAGAGAACTTTACATATCTGCAGATAAAGCACTTCCTAAACAAACATAAGGCTCTGGACATATCAGAGGGATTACAACTTTTTATGAACATAATAAATATCAAAGATAATAAAAATTTAGTTTCAAACTGTGCTAAATTATATAATTTATACAAAATAACCCTGATGTTTCCAGCATTAAAATCGTGTGAAAAAGACCTACAAATCAGCATCACGAGAAAAGAGTGGACAAGTGCAAATAATGCTAGAATTAAGGCTATACATTGTTTAAATTTAACTGAGAGCCACTATAAGTTTATTAATAGATGGCATTATGTTCCTATTAAATTAGCAAAAATTTACCCAGATATGCAGCATAAGTGCTGGAGATGCGGTTCCCTCAGGGCAGATTATGTCCACATTTGGTGGTCCTGTCTGATAATAAGTCAACTATTGGGGATTAATACACTGTCCTCCTCCCTCCCATTAATACACTGCCCCCTCCCTCCTATTAGGGAGGGGCCAGTGTATTAATGGGAGGGAGGGGGCAGTATATTAATGGGAGGGAGGAGGACAGTGTATTAATGGGAGGGAGGGGGACAGTGTATTAATGGGAGGGAGGATGGCAGCGTATTAATGGGAGGGAGGAGGACAGTGTATTAATGGGAGGGAGGATGGCAGTGTATTAATGGGGGAAGGGGGAATGGGAGGAGGATTTGCAGTGTAATACTGGGAGGAGGGGACAGGTATTAATGGGAGGGAGGGGGGCAGTGTATTAATGGGAGGGAGGATGGCAGTGTATTAATGGGAGGGAGTTGGACAGTGTATTAATAGGAGGGAGGGGGACAGTGTATTAATGGGAGGGAGTTGGACAGTGTATTAATAGGAGGGAGGGGGACAGTGTATTAATGGGAGGGAGGATGGCAGTGTATTAATGAGAGGGAGGGGACAGTATATTAATGGGAGGGAGGATGGCAGGTATTAATGGAGGAGGAGGACAAATGTATTAAATGGAGGAGGATGGCAGGTACAATGGGAGGGAGAAGGACAGTGTAATAATGGGAGGGAGGGAGGACAGTGTATTAATGGGAGGGAGGATGGCAGTGCATTAATGGGAGTGGAGGGGACAGTGCATTAATGGGAGGGAGGGGGGGGCAGTGTATTAATGGGAGGGAGGGGGACAGGGCATTAATGAGGAGGAGGGGGCAGTATATTAATGGGAGGGAGGATGGCAGTGTATTAATGGGATGGAGGAGGACAGTGTATTAATGGGAGGGAGGATGGCAGTGTATTAATGGGAGGGATGAGGGCAGTGTATCAATGGGAGGGAGGGGGACAGTGTATTAATGGGAGGGAGGGGGACAGGGTATTAATGAGAGGGAGGGGGCAGTATATTAATGGGAGGGAGGATTGGCAGGTATTAATGGGATGGAGGAGGACATTGTAATAATGGGAGTGGAGGATGGCAGGCATTAATGGGAGGGAGGAGGGCAGCAGTATTAATGGGAGTGGAGGGACATGCATTAATGGGAGGGAGGGACAGGTATTAATGGAGGAGGATGGCAGTAATAATGGATGGAGGGACAGGGCAATAATGGAATGAGATGGAGGATAATGGATGAGAGGAGATGAGAGATGATAGGTGTATTAATGGGAGGGAGGGGGGACAGGGTATTAATGGGAGGGAGGATGGCAGTTTATTAATGGGAGAGAGGATGGCAGCATTAATGGGAGGAGGAGGCAGGTATTAATGGGAGGAGGGGCAGACAATGGGAGGGAGGAGGACAGTGCACAATGGGAGGGTGGAGGGCAGTGTAATAATGGGAGGGAAGGGGCAGTGTATTAATGGGGGGGAGGAGGGCAGTGTATTAATGGGTAGGAGGAGGACAGTGTATTAATGGGAGGCAGGATGGCAGTGTATTAATGGGAGGGAGGAGGGCAGTGTATTAGTGGGAGGGAGGGGGACACTGTATTAATGGGAGGGAGGATGGCAGTGTATTAATGGGAGGGAGGGGACCGGGTATTAATGGGAGGGAGGAGGGCAGTGTATTAATGGGAGGGAGGATGGCAGTGTATTAATGGGAGGGAGGAGGGCAGTGTATTAATGGGAGGGAGGGGGACAGTGTATTACCGGGAGGGAGGATGGCAGTGCATTAATGGGAGGGAGGATGGCAGGTATTAATGGGAGGGAGGGGACAGGGTATTAAATGGAGAGGGAGGAGGGCAGTGTATTAATGGGAGGGAGGGGCAGTGTATTAATGGGGAGGGAGGAGGACAGTGTATTAATGGAGGGTGGAGGGCAGTATTAATGGAGGGGAGGAGGGCAGTGTATTAATGGGCAGGAGGAGGAGGACAGCCGCATTAATGAAGAGAGGGGGGGCAGTGTATTAATGGGAGGGAGGAGGGCAGTGTATTAATGGGAGGGAGGGGGACAGGGTATTAATGGGAGGGAGGAGGGCAGTGTATTAATGGGACGGAGGGGGGAAAAGTATTAATTTGAGGCAGGGAGGGGGCAGTGTATTAATTTGGGGAAGTAAAGAGGCCAGTGTATTAAAATCGGGGAAGGGGGCAGTGTGTTTGAAGGAAAGAGGGGGTAGTGTATTTATTTGAGGTTGGAAGGGGGCCAGTGTATTTATTTATCTGAGGGAGGGAGGGGGCCAGTGTATTCAATTAGAGTGGAGGGAGGAGGGGCAGTGTATTAGATTAAGGGGCAATGTATTAGATTGTGTGAAGGGGCAGTGTATAACAGTGGAGGGAGAGGGGGACAATGTACTGTTTTTTTTTGGCAGTGTATTCGAATTGGGGGAGAGGCCAGTGTGTTAGATTGGGTCTGCATGGAGGCACTGAACGCTACCCATGGAGATGCTGTTTGGCCGCGCAGCTTTTTGCCACACATGCACAAAAGCCTTTCAATGCTTCAAAGCATTGGATTGGCTTATATCATCAAGTTTGATGATCTTAGCCAAAGTGAAGAACACACTCATAGAACTTTCACCATTTCAGTCCCATTACCAAACTTTTCTTAATATGTCAAGGTAGCAGGGCCGGATTAACATGGGGGCTGATGGAGCTGCAGCTCCAGGCCCATGCCAATGGAATAGGCCCATTTAAAAAAAAAAAAATATATATATATATATATATATTTATTTTTTTTTACTTTTTTTTTCTTTTTTTTTTTACACACTACTCTTAGGTTTGCCACCTGACTGGGATTTTACTGGCACAGCTGGTATTTGTGGCTGCCTGGTCGTGCCGGTATTGCAGTAATACCAGCAATACAAATGCAGGTATTTTTCTCAGTATAAACGGAGATTAAATAAAGGAAAAGAGACAGCGCCAGACAACCTGTAAGGCAGCAACCCAACAAGGGAATCCCCCCAAAACCCTAAAATACAGGATAAAAGCAAAATATAAAAGGAGGGCTGCGCCAGAATAAACAGTGTCCAGTATCAATAGTTATTGAAGATAAA